GTGACCGTGTGAACACGTCACCTCCCAGAGCCCAGGTGCCCTCACCTTAGGATGGGGTGACCATGTGAACCTTGCAGACTGCTGGGAGGACTTATGAACAGACCTCAGCACAGGACCAACCCGTATGGGACATTCAGTCATGGGAGCAGCTGCACAACAATGACAATAATAATCGTTGCCCTAATCCACTTAATTTCTATGATTGACAGGCACCCAAACATCCTTCCTCTCTTCATTTTTAAATAAGTTTAATTTACAAAGAATTGGTTCCAAGGAGCCAAGTTGGCCCGAGAAAGAGGCCTGTGCAATGGCACCCCACGTTTCTCCTTTTCAGAGTTAAGATTGGCCCACACTTCCCAGCCCTAACCAAAGGGACAGCTCCCACCTCCCTCTCGAGGCAGAGCTCCTAGGCAGTGTGTACATTTGTTGTTGTTAGTTGCTGTTGAGTGGGCTGTGACTCACAGCGACCCCACGTACAACTCAACGAAACATTGCCCAGTCCCCGCCATCTTCATGATTGTCGGCGTGTTTGAATGCATTGTTGCGGCTATTGTAGTGCCTTCCAACCTGGGGGAGCTCATCTTCCAGCACCGTATCGGTCCACATTCTGTTGTAATCCATAGGGTTTTCATTATTTGATTTTCAGAAGTAGGTCACCGGCCCTTTCTTCCTAGTCTGTCTTAGTCTGGGAGCTCAGCTGAAACCTGTCCATCATGGGTGACCTTGCTGGTATTTGAAATACTAGTGGCATAGCTTCCAGCATCACAGCAACGTGCAAGCTACCACAGTATGATAGACTGACAGACAGGTGGTGGGGTGTATACATAGCGGAGTTATTTACCTGATATTCTGCTACTACCTGTGTTTTATGTGCATCCCGAGGTGGGCTTCCTGCTTTCTGTAACTACCAGGAAGCATGACTGTGGCGGTGGCTTATGTGAATAACAAGAAGTCTGGAGGTCAGTGGGGCTGACCTTGCTTCAGGAGTTCAGCAATGTCAGGGTCACATCTTTGTGATTCTTTTCCACCTTTCCTTCATGCAGTTCCAGCTGTCTTGTCTGTATTCAGGGCAAGAAGAAGGGAAAAGGTAGAGGAACACAATTCCCACGGCTACCTTTTCTTTTCAAGACAGCAAATGTCCCCCAAGTCCCCGCAACAGATGCCTACTCACGTCCCGAGGCCAGAACTAGGTCTCGGACATCCAGGTTGAAAGGGGGGCCAGAAATCAGAAACTTATTTCCACCTCTAAGAAGGAAGCCAGCCAGGAAGAAGGGCCCCAAGGACAGCTTGTAGGTGTCCTGCTGGCAGGGTCGGCCATGGCCATCCCCAGACACACACAGCTGCCCACATGTATCAGCTTCCTATAGCTGCCATAGCAAACGACCACACACTTTATGGCAAAATGACACAAATGTCTTCTCTTACAGTTCTGTCAGCAGGACTGTGTTCCTTTCTGAAGGGTCTAAGGGAGAATCTGTTTCCCGCTCATTCGAGGAGTTGGCAGAATTCATTTATTTGAGATTGTAGGACCGAGGTCCCTGTTTCTTTGCTGGATGTCAGCTGAGGGCCCTTCCCAGCTTCTAGAGGTGGCCATGTTCTTTGGCTGTTGGCCCCCTTCCACCATCTTCAAAGCCAGCAACATCATACCTTTCTGACCCTTCATCCACCTTCATCCATTGTCACCTCTCCCTCTGTCCACCACAGCAGGAAAGTTCCCCTGTTTTAAGGACTCGTGATGACATTGGGCCCACCTGGATAATCTATGATGATCCCCCATCTCAACCCCCTAACCTTAATCATATCTACAAAATCCCCTTCACTAGGTAAGGTCGCATATTCATGGGTTGTGAGTGTAGGGGCGTGGACATGTTGGGGGGATCATCTTTCTGCCGACCACATGGATCATGAAGCCATGGTTAGCACTGGAAGACTCCGTGTCAGTGGTGAATCGGCTGTAATGGCTCCAAGCTCCTTCCCCTCTGATGTGAGACTTAACCTGGCCGTTACAGATATTTCCCTACCCTTGGATGGGCCCCTCACAAAGTCAGTTCTTCCCCTCACCTGACTATTGGGCAGGTTCTCCCATCATCCTTCCTTTTCACACAAGTCCTGCAGCGGTGAAATTCTTGCCAGATCTACCCTCCAAGTAACAGGAGGGGAGTCCCTGGGTGGTCTACATGGTTAACGTGCTTGCCGTTAACTGAAAGGTTGGAGCTTCAAGTCCACTCAGAGGCGCCTTGGAAGAAAGGCACGATGATTTACTGAAAAATCAGCCATTGAAAATCCTATGGATTCAGTTCTTCTCTGACCCACATGGGATTGCCATGAGTTGGAGTTGACTCTATGGCAATTGGTTAAACTGGTAATAAAAGGTAGAGTAAGAGGTAGTGTGGTGAAAAGATACAGCCCTGACGCACACCATCCTTGATTTTAAACCACGCAGTATCCCCTTGTTCTTCAAACGACTGCCTCTTTGTCTATTAACAGGTTTCTCATGAGCACAATTCAGTGTTCTGGAATTCCCATTCTTCACAATGTTATCCATAATTTGTTATGATCCACAAACTAAAATGTCTTTGCATAGTCAATAAAACACAGGTAAACATCTTTCTGGTATTCTCTGCTTTCAGTCAAGATCCATCTGACATCAGCAATGATCTCTCTCATTCCACATTCCCTTCTGAATCCAGCTTGAATTTCTGGCAGTCCCCTGTCGATGTACTTACTGCTGCAACTGCTTTTGAATGATCTTCAGCAAAATTTTACTTGTGTGTGATATTAATGAAATTGTGTGATAATTTCCACATTCTGTTGGATCACCTTTCTTTGCAACGGGTACAAATATGGATCTCTTCCAGTCAGTTGGCTAGGTAGCTCTCTTCCAGATTTCTTGGTATGGACGAGTGACCACTTCCAAGGTTGCATCCATCGGTTGAAACATCTCAGTTGGTATTCTGTCAATTCCTGGAGGCTTGTTTATCACCAATGCCTTCAGTGCAGCTTGGACTTCTTTCTTCACTACCATCAGTTCTTAATCATATACTACCTCCTGAAATGGTTGAACATTGATCAGTTCTTTTTGGTACAGTAACTCTGTGTATTCCTTCCATCTTCTTTTGAAGCTTCCTGCATCATTCAGTATGTTGCCCCTAGAATTCTTCAGTATTGCAACTCGAGGCTTGAATTTTTTCTTCAGTTCTTTAAGCTCGAGAAATGCTGAGAGTGTTCTTCCCTTTTGGTTTTCTAATTCCACGTCTTTGCATATGTCATTATAATACTTTATTTTGTCTCTTCGAACCACCCTTTGAAATCTTCCATTCAGCTCTTTCACTTCACTTCTTCCATTCGTTTTAGCTACTCTACTTTCAAGAGCAAGTTTCAGAATCTCTTCTGACATCAATTTTGGTCTTTTTTTTTTTTTTCCTGCCTTTTTAATGACCTTTTGTTTTCTCCGTGTATAATGTCCTTGATGTCATCCCACAACTTGTCTGGTCTTCAGTCATTAGTGTTGAATGCATCAAATCTGTTCTTGAGATGGTCTCTAAATTCAGGTGGAATATCTCAAGGTCATACATTGACTCCCATGGATTTGTTTTAATTTTCTTCAGCTTCAAGTTGAACTTGCATATGGGCAGTTGATAATCTGTTCCAAAGTTGGCCCTTGGCCTTGTTCTGAACTGATGATATTGAGCTTCTTCATTGTCTCTTTCCGCAGATGTAGTTGATTTGATTCCTGTGTATTCCATCTCTCGAGGTCCATGTGTATAGTCATCATTTATGTTGTTGAAAAAGATATTTCCAATGAATAGGTCATTGGTCTTGCAAAATGCTATCATGCAATCTCTGGCGTTATTTCTGTCACCAAGGCCTTATTTTCCAACTATGGATCCTTCTTTGTTGTTTCCAACCTTGGCATTCCAATCACCAGTAATTATCAATGCATCTTGATTGCTTGTTTAATCAATTTCAGAGTGCAGAAGTTGGTAAAAATCCAATTTCTTCATCTTTGGCCTTAGTGGTTGGTATGTAAAATTGAGTAATAGTCATATTAACCAGTTTTCCTTGTAGGCATATGGATATTATCCTATCACTGACACCTTTGTACTTCAGGACAGATCTTGACATGTTCTTTTTGAAGATGAATGTGACACGACACCATTCCTCTTCAATTTGTCATTCCTGGCATAGTAGACTATATGATTGTCTGATTCAAAATGGCCAATACCAGTCCATTTCTGCTCACTCATGCCTAGGATATTTATCTTCAAGTGTTCCATTTCATTTTTGACAACTTCCAATATTCCTGGATTCATACTTCATACATTTCACATTCTGATTATTAATAGATGTTTGCAGCTATATCTTCTCATTTTGAGTTGTGCCACATCAGCAAATGAAGGTCCCGAAACCTTGACTCCATCCATGTCTAAGGTCGACTGTACTTTGAGGAGGTAACTCTTCCCCAGTCGTAATTTGTGTGCCTTCCAGCCTGAGGACCTCACTTTCCGACACTATATCAGACAATGTTCTGCTTCTATTCATAAGGTTTTCAGTGGCTATTTTTCTCTGAAGTAGATCTCCAGATCCTCCTTCCCAGTCTGTCTTAGTCTGGAAGCTCTGCTGAAATCTGTCCATCATGGGTGACTCTGCTGGAATTTCAAATACCAGTGGCATAGCTTCCAGCATCACAGCAACACCCAAGCCACCCCAGTACCACGAACTGACAGATGAGTGGTCAGGGTGGGAATGCTCCTTTAGAAATCAATGTGACTGATAACAGCAACTCAAAAGATTAGATAGGAATCTTAAGGGGTGGTGAGTTTATGTAAATGAGGGAGGAACAACTCTGAAAAGGAGGGTGAGAATGGTCGCACAACTAGAAGATTATAATCAGTGTCACCAAATTGTACATGTAGAAACTGTTGAATTGGTATATGTTTTGCTGTGTATATTCTCAACAACAACCAAATAAACAAAAGTTAGAAAAAAAATGAAAGAAATCGGCGTGACTAACTGGCTGTCTTAGTTACTTTGTTGTTGTTGTTAGGTGTGCCGAGTCAGTTCCGACTCACAGCCACCCTGTGTGCAGCAGAATGGAACACTGCCCAGTCCTGCCCCATCCTCATAATCATTTGTTTGAGCCCATTGTTGATGCCACTGTGGCCGTCCATCTCATTGAGTGTCTTCTTCTTTTTCACTTACCCATTACTTTACCAAGCATGATGTCCTTTTCCAGGGACTGGTCCCTCCTGATAACGTGTCCAAAGTACATGAGACAAAGTCTCGCCATCCTCACTTCTAAGGAGCATTCTGGCTGTACTTCTTCCAAGACAGATTTGTTCATTCTTCTGGGAGTCCATGGTATATTTGATATTCTTCACCAACACCGTAATTCAGAGGCATCAATTCTTGTTCAGTTTTCCTTACTCATTGTCCAGCTTTCCCATGCATGTAAGGCGATTGAAAATACCATGGCTTGGATGAGGCACACCTTAGTCATCAGAGTGACATCTTTGCTTTTTAACACTTTAAAGAGGTCTTTTGCAGCACATTTGTCCAATGCAATACGTCTTTTTTTTTTTTATGCTTTAGGTAAAAGTTTATAGCTCAAGTTAATTTCTCATTCAAAAATGTATGCACATATTATTTTATGTCATTGATTGCAGTCCCTACAATGTGACAGAACACTCCCCCTTTCCACCCTGGGTTCCCTGTGTCCGTTCCACCAGTTCCTTTTCCTGCCTACTTCTCATCCTCCTTTTGGACAGGAGCTGCCCATTTGGTCTCGTACATTTGATTGAACTAGGAAGCACGTTCCTCACTTGTATTATTTTTTCTTTTATAGTCCTGTCTAATCTTCGTCTGAAGAGTGGGCTTTGGGGATGGTTTTAGTTCTCGGTTAACAGAGTGTCCAGGGGCCATAGTTTTAGGGGTTTCTCCAGTCTCTGTCAGATCATTAAGTCTGATCTTTTTATGTGAATTTGAATTATGTTCTCCATTTTTCTCCTGCTCTGTCCGGGACTCTGTGTTGTGTTCCCTGTCAGGGCAGTCACTGGTCATAGCTGGGCACCATCTAGTTCTTTTGGTCTTAGGCTAGGTCTCTGGGGTTCATTTGGTCCTTTAGTCCTTTAGGCTAGTATTTTCCTTGTGTCTTTGGTTTTCTTAATTCTCTGTTGTTCCGAGTGGGATGGGACCAATAGATGTACCTTAGACATTGTGTGATTTCTTGACTGCTGCTTCCATGGGTGTTGATTGTGGATCCAAGTAAAATGAAATCCTTGACAACTTCAATCTTTTCTCCATTTATCATGATGTTGCTTATTGGTCCAGTTATAGGATTTTTGTTTTCTTTATGTTGAGGTGTAATCCCTACTGAATGTTGTGGTCTTTGATCTTCATCAGTAAGTGCTTCAAGTCCTCTTCACTTTCAGCAAGCAAGGTTGTGTCATCTGCATATGGCGTGTTGTTAATAAGTCTTCCTGCAATCTTGATGCTGTGTTCTTCTTCATATAGTCCAACTTCTTAGATTATTTGCTCTGCAGACAGATTGAATAGTTATCATGAAAGGATACCACCCTGACGCAAGCAAAATTTTGCTGAAGATCATTGAAAAATGGTTGCAGCAGTACATCGACAGGGAACTGTCAGAAATTCAAGCTGGATTCAGAAGAGGACGTGGAACAAGGGATATCATTGCTCATGTCAGATGGATCATAGCTGAAAGCAGAGACTACCAGAAAGTTGTTTACCTGTGTTTTATTGACTCTGCAAAGGCATTCCACTGTGTGGATCATAACAAATTATAGATAACATTGCAAAGAATGGGAGTTCCAGAACAGTTCATTGTGCTCATGAGGAACCTGTACATAGACCAAGAGGCAGTCTTTTGAACACAACAAGTGTTTTAAAGTCAGCTTGTGTCTGGAGGCTAGAAGTCCAAATTCAGGGCCTCGGCTCTAGGGGAAGGCTCTCTCTGTTGGCTCTGGGGGAAGGTCCTTGTCTTTCGTCTTCTGTTCCTTGGCTTCTCGGCAGTCTTCGTGTGGCGTGGCATCTGTCTTCCCCCATCTCTGCTTGCTGACTTTGTTCCTTTTATGTCTCGGAAGAGATTGAGTCAAGTCACACCCTACACTAATGTTGTTGTGTATATAGTTTATATCATTTTGTCACGTGTAGATTTTTGTAAACACCACAAAAATTTCCCTTGTGCCTCCCCTAAATTTAGGGGACAGTGGTGGTTCAGAGGTAGAATTCTCACGTTCCACGTGGGAGACCCAGGTTTGATTTCTGGCCACTGCACCTCAAGCGCAGCCCCCACCCATCTGTCAGTGGAGGCTTGGATGTTGCTATGACGCTGAACAGATTTCAGCCGAACTTGCAGACTAAGGCAGACTAGGAAAAAAGACCTGGCAATCTATTTCCAAAAATCAGCCAATGAAAACCCTGCGGATCACAGCTGTCCAATCCACAACCAATCATGATGATGGCACGGGATCAGGCAGTGTTTTGTTATGTCATGCATAGGGTTGCCATGAGTCCGGGGCCAACTTGACAGCAGCTAACAAAGACTAAAGACAACCCCTAAATTTATAGGCATACTTATCCCTTCCCCACTACCGTCTCTAACCCCTGGCCACCAGCACTCTCTTCTCCATCTCTAACTTTTGTCACTTTTGCAATGTTATGTCCATGGAATCCCACAGTATGTGCTGTTGGAGGTGGACCTTTTGCCCCCAGCATCATGCCCCGAGACCCACCGGTTGGTTCTTCTTACTGCAGAGTGGCATTCCATGGCACGAGCACAGCCCAGTTTCATGACTGTTTAGCTTGAGGGACATTCCAGATGTTTCCAGGGCCTTTACTCTCCCCCATGCTATCCTGCCTCACAAAGCATGGGTGGGAAGAAGGATCATTAACTGGCCCTGCTGCCAGCCAGGGCTTTGGCTCTGGTGATTTGTGGGTCACTGGAGTGAGTTGCGAGTAGTTGGAAGGCTGGGTGGAGCCTGTGAAAATGTCGTGGGGAAACAGGCTGCTGACTAAATGGATGTTTTTTTGACAGGTCTGCGAATTCGGTAACATGTTTGTAAGACTGAACTATTAAAATATTCACCATTCTGGGGCAAAAGTCTTCAGAATGTCATCAATTAAACACGGTTGTTCATCACGATTAGAGTGGTCAGGTTTGAGCCCTCCGTCTCTGTTAACTCCTCCAGGAGCTGAGACTGGCGTCTTACCTCACGAAGCTGGCGATGGTGCCGGGGGCCACGCTGCACCGGCTCCTGAGCGTGGTCCAGCCTGCAGCCTCACAGCCCGAGCTGCTCGCGGCGCTGGACACGGTCAGCGAGAAGCGTGTGGACCACGCGGCCGCTGTGGAGAGTGGCGGTGGTGGGGAGCAGGCCGACCTGGGCAGGAGGAGGTGAGTGCGGCGTCTGCGGGGACCCTGCAGAAAACAGCGGCGGGTGCCGCACAGGCTGGCCCTGGGACACACAGAGGCCTTTCTCTCAGGGTGCGTCATGGTTCCAGGAGCAAACGACAGCCAGAAGGGTCGCCGTGAAGTCTTTTTAAGTCACTGTGGGCCCAAGTATGTTCTCCATAATTTTCATTTTAGTCGTTAATTTTCTGAAAGGTAGAATCTTAAGAAAATAAGTTTGCCTTGTCCATATAAATGTCACGTACACCCATTCAAGAAAGTGTAAAAGTATGTAGAAGAGCGAAAAGGAATATCCGTGGTTCTACCACCTGTAGAAAACAGCTGTTACCATTGTTATTTCTTCTTTCAGAATAGGTTTCTCTGCAGGGTTTTGTGAGTGTGTGTGTTTATGTGAGTGTGTGTATGTGTGTAATTGCGTGTGTGGGTAACTGTGTGGTGTAAATGAGTGTGTGCTGTCTGATTTTGTTGTGTGGTGTGTCTGAGTGTGTATGTGCTATGTGTGAGTGTGACTGTGGTATGTGAGTGTATTTGTGTATGTGGTACATGTGAGTGTGTATTGTGTGTATAAGTGTGTGTTATGTATGTGAGTGTGACTGGTGTGTGTAGCTGAGTGTTGTATGTATGATGTCTGTGTGTGTGAGTATGTATGTAGTGTGTTGAATGTGACTGTGGTATATGAGAGTATATTTGTGTGTGAATGTGTGAGAATGATTGTGTGGTGTGTGAGGTATTTTGAGTGACTGTGGTGTATGTGAGCGTATTTGTGTGTAGGTGTGTGTGACTGCAGGTGTGTGGTGTATGAGTGTCAGTGTGAGTGCATGGTGTGTGTGTGTGGTGTGTCTGTGTGAGTGTGAATGTGTGGTGTGAGTGTATTTGTGTGTGTGGTGTGTCTGTGTGTGTGGGTGTGAATGTGTGGTATATTTGTGTGTGTGGTGTGTGTGAGTGTATTTGCATGTGTGTGGCATGTTTGTGTGTGTGAGTGGGAATGTGTGGTGTGAGTGTATGTGTGTACTGTGTGACTGTGAATGTGTGATGTGAGTGTATTTGTGTGTGTTGTGTGTGAGTGTGAATGTGTGGTGTGAGTGTATTTGTGTGTGTGTGAATGTGGGTGTGAGTGTGTGTGTGAGTGTGAATTGTGGTGTGAGTGTATTTGTGTGTGTGTGAATGTGTGGTGTGAGTGTATTTGTGTGTGTGTGAATGTGGGTGTGAGTGTATTTGTGTGTGTGAGTGTGAATGTGTGGTGTGAGTGTATTTGTGTGTTTGAGTGGGAATGTGTGGTGTGAGTGTATTTGTATGAGTGGGAATGTGTGGTGTGAGTGTATTTTTGTGTGTGAGTGGGAATGTGTGGTGTGAGTGTATTTGTGTGTGTGAGTG